AAGACCTGGCACGCAAGCGATCCCACCGCCTCCGACCTCAATCATGACCCGCGCTTCGTCGGCCTCTTAGGGTGCGGCCTCGGGCTGACCTCCGACCAGTGAGTTCCGCCGCCAGGCGCGCGCCGGGAGAACAGCAGCTGATCGCGCGCGACGCCTCCCGCACAGGGGCTTTTGTGCGTCCCCTCTTTCCATCCCATGTGGCCTCCGTGCGCGCTGCAACTAAACTTGGCGCGCGCGACCAACAGACATCGCGATCGTGTGGGCGACCGTGCTCGTGTTCGACGTCATCGTGTTCGCGCTGACCGCGTACCGCGTACTCCGGGTGGGCAAGAAGTGGCACGGCAGCCTGCTGCTGCTGCGCGACGGTGGGTTCGTTGGACTCTCGGCTGATGAGATGTTGCTGACCGGCGGTGCTGATCACGCCAGGCGCGCTGTACTTTGGGTGCGTTCCTGGTTCTGGGTGTGACCTTGTTTGGCCCGGGGAGCTGATTTCGTGTCGACATCAGGGTGTTGGCGATGTTCCATCTCACAAACATCCTCACGTGCTTGGTGCGTGCCATCTCGAACGGCAGTTTCGCCACCCGAACTGATGATTCTTCCTTCACAGCTCGCACAGGTCCGTCTTCGGATGCGTTCTCACCGGTGCCATATCGTCCCGAGCGTTGACATTTCCCGGTTGCGGTCTCACAGCCCGCCTACAAAGGGATCAGCGTCACCGCGACCAACGTGTACGTCGTCTCCCGTTCTACGACCTCGTTCTCGTGCTCACAGTCTCCGACCGCGTCTCTGCGCGCAGGCTGTCGACATCGCTCATCGGGCGCCTCATGCTCAACATCCGCGACCCCGACGCGCGCGACGTTCTTCGATGGCCCTCGGACGTCGAACTGAGTGTAGAGAATGCCATTTGAGCCCCCGGAGGAGATGCGTCGTGCGACCCCACCCCTTCCTCCCCGGACCATGTGTCGGATTCGTTCGTACCATCGCGAATCTATTTGCGCATGTGCTTCGACATCTGGCTCGCTCGCGACAGCGCTGTTGCGATCCGCTTCCCCGAGACCCCAACTGCGGTGTGCGCTCGGCGCGAGTCTGAAACCGATCGATCCCCCGACATTGCCACCTCGACAACGCTCCGTCTCGTTGACGGTGTCGTGTGGGGCGAACTCGGGCGTGCGCTCCACCAAACCTAATGCTTTCGGCCCACATTTGGGACTGAGGTTGCTATAATCGGTGTGCCCCCGGCGCGCCGCTCTGCTTACTGGCGTCGCGAACCCCGCGCGCTGCTAAACAAGGCGTTCGCGGCACCACGCTCGACGGCGCATCTGCTGCGAGCGGGGCGGTGGCACAGCGCCTGACCAACTTGAAGGCTTCTCTCCCTAGTGGAGGAGGAGGAGGAGGTTGGTGACTTCAGCCCCTCCAGCCTCAGTGCCGCAACACCGCTAGAAGCGCCGAGGAATCCTACTTGGGACCGCCAGTGCTGATCGTTTGAACTTTGACCGCCGGCGCCTCTCGGGGGTACTATATACATGCGTGCGCTCGCGGGTCCTGTCCGTGCACGAGAAGCCCCGCAGACAACACATAAGTAAGGACGTCGGCCCGCACGAGAAGCCCCGGATTCAAGGCGCAAGTGGCCATGTCGCTGTCCGCCGACAGCTCGGATCTGGTATCGTGAGTGGTTGCTTGCAGCGGGGGTGGTATGGGTGCAGTTGGCGCTGACGGACGTTGGATGTGCAGGGAGCTGCGAGATGCGGTGGTGCGCCTCGTCCTCACCACCATCGCTTTCAGTGAGTTATATTTCTGCGGCCCTTCGGACGTCTTTTCTGACATGTCGCAGTGATCCTCTACTACGACTTCGGGCTCACCTTTGGCGTGGAGGTGGAGCGCTTCTGGGAGGGCCGGAGGCTGAACGCGTTGAGCTGTGGGTTCTTCCTCAGCCGGTACATGTCGCTGGTCGGGCATGTTCCGGTGATGTATGAATTTTATGGGGCGCCTTCGATACACGTGAGCGTGACCTTTCGGCGGTCCTTCAGCTCATGTATGCTGAACGATTTCTGTCCAGGTGTGGGTGCTCTATGGAACGGTGATCCTGAAATCTGCCTCAACTGGCGCATATTTGCACAGGTGCCATAGTCTGCAAACGTTCCATCAGCTCCTATCCGGGTTTGCACAGGTGACGGTGGCGGGTACGTGCCGTTACAGTAACACTGCATCCAACAGGGTGGCGCTGATGCGATGCTTTTGGCAGCACTGCAGATCTTCCGGGTGTATGCCATATACAATAGCAGCCGCAGGATTTTGTACGCACTGATAGGTTTGTGCCTTACGTCGTTCGGTGTCGCAATGGTGCGTGAATCTGTGATGTACTCCGTGCGAGAAAACTACTCACCGCATTTTGTTGGGTAGTGGGCCATCGTAGTTTCTTGGCATCTTGGTTCGGACACGTCGTCGAGAGTGGTGGAGCCGCGAGAATCTGGCAAGCAAATCGGATGCAATTTGGGCCAGTCAAAAGGACAGTGAGTTATCACAGCTACACCTGAGTTGGAGTTCACATTCCTTATCGGGTCCATAGAGGACACTGTGAGCATTCCACTCACCCTTTCCGCCCTGTACGTTCTGAACTCTTCTAGACGTTGCGATCATATGGGGCTCGTTTTTGGCCTTCGACGCGATCGTGTTTGCTATGACTATCTCTCGCATCAGGGGACTGGGGCAGATCATGCGGGGAGGCGTTTTCTCAGTGATTCTGCGAGATGGTAAGTCGGAGATGCGCTTCCAGACAAGGCCGAACTGACCGGAGGTTTCCCAGGGACGCTATATTTCGCGTGAGCGACTATCTGCACAGTGGACGCGTGATCCGTCTGACAGGAAGATCTCGTCCAGCATATTACTGGGCTTCCATCTTGCGAATATCCTGACCGCGCTGGTTAGTACCACACGGTAGTGTCTTGAGCGTGTTTACTGACCATATTTGTGGTGCGACAGCTCGAGAGGGTACGCACCCCCAGTCCGAGGATGCGCACGCCAACTTCTCACACCATATTCCGTACCATAGCCTGCCCTGAGAAGCATCAGCGTGACAGCCACGAACATGTGAGTGCGCTCGCAGACGCCGACCACACACTCGATCTGACGATCGATCCGCGGAACATACTGGCAGTTTGGCGACGACGCTCATGTCCCGCCTCATGCTCAACATCCGCGATCCAGCGCTGTTGCATGTGCGCTTGGGTCCATTGTGGGAGATGCAGACCGTGGAGGCAGGCGACGAGCAAACATCAGGAAAAAGTGCTTGGCGCGAGAGCCCCGGCCCAGACTCGGGATCACCCGCTTGTTGCCAGTGATGGCCGGGAGGGCACTCGAGCGCTCTCGCATAATCACTGATGATACCGAGGTCGTCCGAGCAGCAACGAGCACCGTAGTGAGCTCGCGAGCTCTCTCGAGTTGCGGTGGTTGCTCGCGACGCCCTGAGAGCCATAACCAGCTTCCACCGAGACCTCGCGTGCCTGAGTGACCCCACGAGAGGACTGTCGAGACGCCCTCGGCACACGGGATACCCCAGGAGTTCAGTCAGAATTTGTCTACAGCGCATACTCATTGGTTGCACAAATGATATAACATTGACAGAAGAGAAGATACATAAGTACTCGGTACATTGTAATATATTCGGTGTAACTTTTCGAGCCAGTCGAAGGCGTATCAGAGGTGTGCAGGCCGCTGCTTCCCGGGCTGAGGCGCACAGCGGCGAGCTCCAGCGCGAACGTGCCACCGTCGTGCGCGAAGAGCACCGGCAGGCCGCCGCGCTGTTCGAAACACGCTCCACAAAGCTCCGCGCCGCCTAGGTCTTCCTCATTCCCGCGGACGACGTCGCAAAATATAGCGATGTCATGCGCAAGCTACAAACCTTAGGACTCCTGCGCGAAGCTGGTGTCCATGGAAGGGCGCTGTGAATGCTCGGGCGCGTGTGGGTCATGCCAGCAACAACACACCGGTTGAAGTTGCGCTCCAGTGCATCATGAATGTGCATGCCTGCCGCCTGTGCTCGATGTGGGGCCGCCCGGGCGAGAAGCAGCTTGAGAAGGTCTATGCGAGTATAAAAACACCGGGTACGCACACCACTTTGTCTCTGCGCCCTCCAGTCCTAGTCTTCCAATATCTCCCCCCGCATCCACCCATCGCTGAACACGTTTACCTAGCCTGAGGCGTCGCCGGCCGCCGCCGGTCCCTTTTCCTCACGCATATCCGCCGGCTGCGTGAGCCCGAGGGCAAAGAGAGAGACAAGGCCCGGCCGAGTTCGTGAAGGCGCTCACCACAGTCCCCTGCGTGTGTGGGGTGGCGGACGACACGAACGCGCCCCGCTTCGAGCTTCGCAACGCGCACCGTGCGCACGCACTCCTTGAAACCGTCGTCCGCCTCGTGTTTGAGTTCCGGCGCGCAGTGGACAAGGCGATATTTTCGTCCGACTTCTCGGTGGTCTCTGTGGGCGCACAGTCGGAACGCGTTCAACGAGGCGGGAATGATGTGTAGGAGAGCCAAAAAAGAGCAAGAAAACGAAGTCGAGACAGCGCACTCGCAGTTAGGGACTCCATGATCAATCGATCATGCGCGATACTCTCGCGTGAATATGGTAGCTACTTCCCACGCACTGACCAGTCGCCCCGCGCGCAGACCTGTTGCGCTCTGCCAGCGCATTATGGACTCCATCTCTTTCTTCTTCGCCCATGCGCGTGCATCTCTCCACCCAGTTTGCTCGCTCCCCCCCGTCCTGCGACTGTTTGTGATTCTGTGAGTGAGCCATCTGACATTACAGTTTACATATATCGTCTGACTACCATTATCCACTCACACCTGCGGCCACTGCTTTTACAGTCATGCCGCGCACTGTGCCCGCAGCTTAGGCCAAATGATTTGCCTGCTCTCGAAGTCCAGTAGGTGGGGAATGTTTGGATAGGGACGATGGTACGTCAAGGCTTTGGTAAGCAGCAGGCCTAGAGCTGATGATTTTCATGTGTATTATAAGACCAGCGCACCCCGCACTCTCGTGCACGGGCGAGCTCCTCGCCGGCCTCAGTGCGCTCGCCGGCCTCAGTGCGCTCGCCACCGCAGACCCGGCGCTCGCCATCCAGACGCACATCTCCGAGAACCCGGCAGAGATTGCGTTCACGAAGGCGCTCTCCCCGCGCGAGAGCCTCGGGGTGGGGGCGAACGCCACCACGGGCGACGGCGTGGATGTGGACGAGAAAGAGGAGGGGGAGACTACGTATACGGGCATGTACGATGTGTACGGGCTCCTCCGGCACAACACCGTGCTCACACATGCGGTGCACCTCGACGAGCACGAGGTCGCGCCCATTTGGCACGCCTGCGACGCCGACATCGCCCACTGCCCGACGAGCAACTTCAACCTCCGCTCCGGCTGCGCGTGCGTCGGCATGCTCCTCAACGCCGGCGTCGAGGTCCGTCTCCCCTCTCGTTCCCGTCCTTGTCACCGCTCACTCCATCGCAGGTCGGACTGGGGACGGATGTCCCGGGCGGCTTCCCGCTCTCGATGCTCACTGCCGTCCAACACGCGAGCATATGCGCCAAGGTCGTCCCCGCCGCCGGCCCGCCCCCTGCGCACACGACGTTCACGGACCGACAGCTGCCCGTCCCCTCGCTCCTCCACCTCGCGACGCTCGGCAGCGCGGCGGTGTGCGCGCTCGCGCAGCACGTCGGCTCGCGCCCGGCAAGGCGTTCAGCGTGGGCAACCCGGCCGTGTGGGGCGTCGCACTTCGCATGGAGCCCCGTCTTTTGATGCTGGTGCTTGTGGGTTGCCCTGCGCATCATACAGCCCATTGTGTTGTGAGTATGTCTCCTCCTCCTGCGCACGTACGGTGCCCACTGACAACCGGCTCACAGAATTTGTAAATCCCACCGGGCACTCCGCGGTCGCGGCAAGGCCCCCTCCCTCGCCACTCCGATTGCCAGGCACTCGTTGACCGTCCCACACCCTCCGTTTGCGCCCGCAGAGCTCGACGCACTCGCTGCGGCGCGCCCACCGGACGAGTGTTGGTGTGGACCGCGCGGTGCGCCTCAACGACCTCACCATTGTCGGTTGGTGGGCGCGGTGGGTGGGCGCGTGTATTATAGATATAGAGAGCTGGACTGTCAATTAGTACACGTACTTGATCAATATATTTTCTTTCAAATGCATATCCGGCAGCGGAGAGAAATGGACCGGGGATGTGAGCAATATCGGGAGTGCGTTTCATGCTCAAGAAGCCTCTCGAGCACTCTCGAGACGAAACTCGAGGCTGCTCGGGAGTGCTCGCCGAGCTGGCGGCTGTGTCTCCCGACCACCCGCGAGGCGCCCTGCCAAGCTCGCGTGCCTCGAGAGAAGGGGACTTGTCTCGCCGTGCTCGAACTGCTCTCGAGCCTCGGGTGCACTCCCGAGACAGGTCGTTTTTTCCTGATGAAGATGGCCTGTTCCACGAGGGCGGATGTTGCGGCCCGCCGGCGGACGGCGGCGGGAGGGCGAGGTTTATATCCCGGCGTGAGGACAGGATGTCTGATGTCCGTTTGTGATTTCTTGGTGTCATACTGTTGGAGTGAGTAAAGGGCGCAAGCAGATGGACGGCGAGCCTCAGGGTGTTGAGTCAAGCCAGGCACCGGGAAAGGCAGGCGGAAATTCCCGGCGGTCGGGATTATTCGCAGGCGGGTTGTCTAGGCGCCGACATGATGCCTTTCCTCCACCCCCACTCACGTCGTGGCTGTGTGCATTTACTCATCGAGCCGTCTCAGAACCTCTGCTTAAATGGCCTCTCTGAGGTGCTGTACAACTCACAGATGTGACGAGCAAGGGTACGAGGTAAGCCAGTGTGTCGGGGGTGTCTTCTTACAATGCACACAGCTTCACGAGTTCCGTGTATACAGCCTCACGCGGAGCGAATTGTAGTTGCAAAATCCAAACCAGACGCATAGCAGAGGGTGTTTTGTGGTTCTTTTTGATGTGGCTCGAGAATCGCTGAAGCTACGCACCGCCAGCTTCTGTGTCGGGGGTCGCCCGCCCAGATATGACGCGTTTTCCTTGGTGAGTCCATCCGCTCGCGCTTGAAATCCGGCCTTGTTAGATGCTCACGAGAAAAGTTTTAGCGACATCCAAGCCCCTTAGCCCCATTCGCGAATACGTGGGCATCCACTGCACAGAATAAAGTTCAATTTGACTCGCGCAAGCGCGACCAACAACTGATGACCGCTGGCGGGCGGTGGTCTCACCCCACCCGACGATGCGCCCCGCTTCCACTTCGTGAATACCTGGTGCGTTATCTATAAACTCAATGGATGCAAAGCTCGGGTGCGCTGACGACAAACGGGGTAGCACAGGGATTGGTGCATGGGGGTGCGGTGCTGCGTGGGGCCGCGGCCTCCGGGATACGCGGCAATCTGGCCGGATTTTGCGCTAACGGCCGCTGAAGCACTGCGCGAGCAATGTGGGCGAGCCGACGTTACCCGTTGCTGGCATCGAGCCTCCACTGGTGCCATATATACACCCGGGTCGTGTGAGACCCTCCCTTCCTCTCTTTCTGCTGTGTTCGTATGCAGCCTCCATGACGGTCGAGGAAGATGACGTCCTCAAGTGAGTCGATGGTCCAATGTTCTGGGGGGCCCAAGCCAATACTGATGCGGTCTGGGGTTTTCTAGACTTGAAGGGGTGCACTGTACAGACATAGAAATGTTACTCTTGGGTTTTGGGGCAGCTGGGTTTGGTACGTTTCGCTTCTCAAGGCTATCGTGATAGCTGGCGCCTGTCGTGAGCTCACCACACGATCACAGCGATCCTCTACTACGATTATTTCCTCACTTTTTCCCTGGAGGTCGAACGATTCTGGAGTCGGCGCTTCACATTGGTATCGTTCGCGTTCTTCCTCAATCGTTACGTGCTGCTCTTGGGACACATCCCCGTGATCTTTGAGTTTTTCGGAACGAATCAGTCCTCGTCTGTGAGTGTTCTCTCCTCGTGATCACGACTGTTCATGCTCACGCGTCAATCAAGGTGTGCGCAATCTTGTCACAATCTCCGCTGCAAAACGTTACCAATCTTCATTGCAGGTGCATTCCCTTACAAGTATTCCATCGTGTCCTGTTTGGAGCATTAGAAGTATTCACCGGTGGTGGGTACTCATCGCTGCTCTTGGCAGATGGTTTCTTATAGGTGTCCTTGAAGTCCTTCAGATATGGCGGGTCTATGCATTATACAACCGCAGTCGGCGCATACTGGTCTTCTTCATCGTCGTGGCCATAGCCGTGTGCGGATTCTGCGCTGCAAGTGATTTCCTTTATGCCAGACTCGATGCGCTGACATCGGTTTCGCAGCTTTCACTTGTCAAGATCGCGCAATTGAGTCAAACTCCGGGCATCCTCTCGGTCACGGACCCGTCGCTGATCTCCATCGGTTGCAACTATTTTATCACCAAAGAGCAGTAAGTGAGCGCACAGTACTTTCATGTATCTCCTCCCTAATCGGCCACTCAAACAGAAGCCGTCGTGAGTAGCCAGTCGTCCTCGAAATGGCTCGCGCGGATTGACTATGTTGTGCAGACTTCGCGTCCATTTGGGCTGCCGTTCTCGTGTTTGATGCGGCGGTCTTCGGGCTCACAGTGGCAAAGGTTCTCAGGGTCGGACGCACGTGGCAAGGAAGTCTTTTCACATTGATGCTCGTAGACGGTGGGGTTAATCCTTGCTCTACAGTCTCCATTGTCTAACTTGAGCTTGGTCAGGTGCCCTTTACTTCGGGTAAGCATACTAATTGTGTGTAAACCAGCCCCATTGACGGAAGTGGGTGCGCAGGGTGATGTTCTTATGCAACCTGGCGAACATCGTAGTATACTGGGTGAGCTTTATTTTCCTTGTCGAGACACGAGCGAGTTCTGACGTCGAGTAGACTTGGACCGTGAGTCGTTTCGCCGTCATTTTCCGCGAGGGTCTTTCCGACACCCTTGCGTCCTCTAGGGCAAGTCCGCTTCCAAGAATGCTAGCGTCACCATGACAAATATGTGCGTGCTGTTCTCTCAAACTGCTTCTTCGTGATTGTGACGTGACTTCTCAGCTTGTCAGCCACACTCATGTCGCGTCTCATGCTGCATATCCGTGACCCTGAGCTCTTGGAAGCTCGCTTCAACTAATGTGGACCTTGTTACGAGCTCCGAACTGCGTTGGATCTTCTCACTCCACATTGGCACTTGCAGGTGCGCGCTTGTGATCACGATAAACTCAGTAAATAATCACGGTATTGCTTCCATTCATTCGTGGACACAGGATTGCGGAGGGGGGCACGAAAGATGATCGAGAACCCTTACCAATGTGGCCTCGACAGACACTGCACGGCCTGATCCCACTTTTATCAGAGCCTGAACGGAGACAGCTAAATGTGGACGTTTGTGGTCGCGCTCGAGCTACGGCGCAGTCGGCGATGGACTTGGTCGGGAGCGAAGATCTTGCGGCTGTCCTTGCTTTCCTATGCTGGTTTTCAGCGCATCTCATGTCGGTTCCAGTGGCAGTGCACCGTCGTTCTCGGGACCTGGAAAAAGGCATAATTTTTCCCTCGCTGCTGGTAAGTCGCGATGCCATCTCTTCGTTTGGGCATCCAACGTGGAGTTTGCAGCCATATGAGTTCAAGATCAAATCAAGAAGGGTGGTCCGCTTCCCTCGCTCGAGTATTTCGCATGAAACTGATCTTACCTCTCGACCATGTGCTTCTCGTGTTTCCTGTGTGGTGCGGAAATCGCTGATGTACAACAAGGACTGTAATCTCACAAAGCGCTGCCACGCTGTCGACCACGCACGGCAAACGACGCTGGTCGCCTACGAGCCACGAAGCGCGGCAGCGCGGCCAGTATTCCCACCGACTTCAATCTGTCACCATGCATCATTGCGCCCCTGGTATCGCCTCAGCGTCCCGCCCAATCTACAAGAAAAAGCTTCCCGTTGAAACCGAGACCATCTTTTCCCGGCCACCATCGCCCTCTTCTCCCTCTCTCTCCTGTCCGCATCCATATGCCTTAGCAGCGGTGCGTTGCCTACACAATGAGCGTCACGCATCTGAGCGACACCGAACTGTGAGCGGAGTGTCCATTAACTTCCGCTCTCACTCGCACGGCTTCAGTTGCTTACATTTTCTGAACAGCTCGTTCGTGAGCGACTCTTTTGTCCGCCTCGTATTTGGCACGATCGCCTTCGGTGAGTGTCCTCCCCTCGGGCCAACGGCAATTTAATAGCTGATACCACATCGATCGCAGTCATTCTTTACTATGACTACTTCCTAACTCTCGGAGATGAGTTCCAACGGTACTGGGGCCGTCCGTCCTCGCCCGTCTCTTTCGGGTTCTTTTTCAACAGGTACCTGTCGGTGCTCGGGAACATTCCCGTGCTCATTCAATTCTACGGCAATCCGCTATCGCCAGTGAGTCTTTCACAAATATGCTGCGTATTTAATCCTTGGGGCTGATGAGCATTCGGTCAACTTCCAGCTGTACGTGTTCGCAGCCGCCTTGGGCTCCCAGTATTGAATTCCAAATACCCACGTCCCCCGCAGCTGTCCGCATCTGTCGTTAATTCATCAGATGCTGATAGGCTTCGTCCAGCTCGTCACCGCCGGTACGCCTCTTGATCATTGATAGCAGCTCCTATGTGCCCGACTACGAGCTCATCTTCGCTTGTCTGCTCCAGCACTCCAGTTGCAGCGCGTCCACGCGCTTTACGGAGGCAGCAAACGCGTGCTGGGTCTCCTTCTGGCCGTCGGGAGTATATTGGCGTCAG